GTGTATGCCTCCGACTTTAATGTTTGTTTGATGATATATAATATCATATGTTTTCTTCCAGTCAGATACCATCTACATATGAATTACTGATTGGCAATTATAATTTCAAGATACTAGTAATATACAGACTTCATACCAGTTGGATTCACTATTTTTAAAATATCAGTGTGTTTCCAAACTGTACATTTATTGGATGAAATGTGTATGAAATCTGATTAATATTTGTATGACTGTGACTTTAATGTTTTGATTTTGGATATTGTATGAATTGTGTTATAACATTGGTATACAAATGGTATAAATTGTGTTTTAACATTAGTGTGATTGTCTATTAAATATGTATATGGTATGAATTATTAAATTGGTATGAAAATGGTATGAATTGTCAACCTAGTGATTTTTTCTAAAAATATCACATTATGCTTACTTTCTATTCTAAACTTGTTTTTGGATGAAACGTGTATGAAATCTGATTAATAAGTGTATGCATCCGACTTTAATGTTTGATTGTTGGATATTGTATGAATTGTGATATAATATTGGTATACAAATGGTATGCATTGTGTGATTATATGAAATTATGAATGTTTATACGAAATTGATGAATGTTTATATGAAATTGATTTATTGTTAGTATAATATGTGTGATATAAATTGAAGTTAGTGTTGGAATGAAACTTGAATAAGATTGGTAAAAATTTTGTTTTAATTTTATTTATAGTAGGACACTAGTTGGAAACCAAATTAATATTCATAATAACTTACATTAAATACTTAGGATACCAAATGCATTCCATAATTACCTTGTATAATTATCACTATATTAACACTATCTTATATATTAAGCTTGAATAAATTTTATTTCCAGCTGTCTGAAATTTGTATGATTAATGAATGAAACACGTATAAAAAATGAACAGTATATTAAACACTTACATATAATGCATTTCACACCAATTATGTTTCATATCAAAACAAAACATGAGTCATAAAGTCAAAATAAAATTAAAATTTTATACAGTCTAAACAAATAAATAATCATTTTTTTGCACAGGATAATTTGAAAATGTCGTCCTGTTATGGCCAACTTGACGACATCTACTGCAAGTAACTCTAGACCCTTTGAATTTCATATCAAAAAATCCCTTCCGGCGTTCAAGTTGCAGTCTTCCTACCGTTCTTTTTGAACCGGGCGGCATCAATTTAGGCTCCGAAACATAACTTGGTATATCCCATGTACTCTCGCATGGGAGAAGTTCAACCATCTATCATATGTTGCGATGTTATCGCACTTACTAGACCACTATAAAGACTAGAAGATTCATATATAATCCCTATCATCTGAAAATCAACATATTTCCCTGTTTCATTAAAAAAGAAAAAAATAGTCATCCAAAGAACATACAAATTTCATCCACAAAATTCATTATAATAACAACAAAATTATACACACTTGTCATTATCTTTTCATACAAATATCATTCAGACAATACTCTACAAAACAGATTTAAAAAATAATAATATTTCACATTTCATACCCACTTAATACATATTTCATATAAACAATCATCACTCATACCAAATTTATACACAATTGACAAAACTTATATAAACAATAAAATTTCAAATTTTATACCAACTTTAAAACATTTTCATACATTTCTTCAAAATTTTAAATAACTCATTTTAAACATTACTGAACACACTTTCATACCAAATTCATTCCATTTATACTACCAAATTCATTCAAAACTATACATTTAATTTATATTTTCAGGAAAAAAAACAGTATTCAATATTATAATCTTAATCTACGAACCCAATCTACAACGATAAACATATTTATTATATGCTATACATTTATGCTCAAATTATTTGTGCTAATTTTTCACGAAAGCAACGTTTTAACATTATACAAAATAACAAAAAAAAAAAAAAAAACTTACCAACACAGTCACTAATATTACAGTTTCACAACAATTAATATGTATTATGAACAAAATGTTTTTTTTATACAAAAAAAATTAAAAAATTAACTATAGTGACGATTTACAAAAACAAAATCACATAATGTGATTTACAGTTTCATAGTTTTTTTTTTCATTTCACTGAAATACAAAAATAAATTATAAACAATAACAACTACTAACCTGAAGGATCCCATCTTCCATCATGTTTAATTAATATTGATACGTAGTCGTCCATCACAACAAAATCAAGATTTTTCAAACAAAAAAAACTTCAATTAGTCGAGAGTGACAAGATTTCTGGAAGAAAATCGAAGAGAGAGAAATGTGGGAGAAAAATGGATAAAATCAGAATTTTTAATTAAATTTAACAAATTAGAGTGAATTAAGGAACTGAATATTCTAATTAGTTTGAATTTCCTTAATTCATGCTAATTAATAATTATCTTCAATCATTTCAAATCTAATTAACACCCCTATTTTCGTTTTTTACCTTTTGTTATTCCAGAAACGTTTTATTTTAATTTATTTTATATGTTTAGTTTTTTCAAAACAAATGTTTTCAATTATTAAAAACAATTTTTTTTTAATAAACTGTTGGAACCTGAAATTTTTAATGTTACAACTTGAAAGTTTAATTCTACTGCTATAACTTGAAAATATTAATCTAATATATGTCATATATTAAATTTTCACTCTTTAGATTATCAAAAATGTGGGCTTCAGCCTTCATTGTAAATGATTCTTTCTCAAACAGAAATTGGGATATTTGCTTGAAGAAACCCAATACATCAAATAGTAGTTATTTTGGTCAAATTAAATGCTATAATAGCAAACTATTAATTCAAATTAAATGCTATAAACATAGTTTGATTTAATTGTACCTCATAGCAAACTGTTGCTATTTTCTCCTCTCTCCCTGGTGGAATCTCGCTCGCCACTCCCGTTCTCGCTGGCAATCTCGCTTGCCTCTCTCGCTTTTATACAAACACAAATGTATAAAATGCGTTTGTATTTGTATAAAGCGAGAGAAAATTGTATATATACATACATTTTCGTTCCCCTCTCTCCCCTCTCCCAGATCTCGCTCGCCACTCTCACCTCGTCTCTCTCACTTTATACAAACACAAATGTATACATTAGCGTTTGTGTTTGTATAAAGCGAGAGAAAATTGTATATACAAATACAAATGCATATATTTTCGTCCTATACACTTATGATTATACAAATACGATTTTCCCCTGCCCAATTTTCTTTTGTCTTTCTCTCTTTCTCGCTTTATACAAACACAGATTATACAATTGATTCTTTTGCATATGTATACTGAAACAGATGATACAGTTGCTTCTTTTGTATATATGTATAGCGAAATAGCCATAGCAAACATAAAGTTTGCTATGGAGCGCAATTATGCAAACTATAGCTATAACATACAAATATGATTTTTGTGTTTGCTATATGTGAAAGTTGTTCAAATATATATTCAATCAACTTGTACAACTTAAAACCATCTTTTCGTTTATTTGTATACACATATTTTATTTTATTTTTAAATTACTACCATTAGCAAATAACTACATAGAGCACTACTAGTAATCAACTATAAAATTTTAAAGTATAATTAATATGTATAATTTGGTAGGACAAATATTTTAATATCACTCTTAAATAACACATAAAGTACTAGTACTGAAACTTAAAAATTTTAAAATTTAATTAATATGAATAATTTACTAAATAATATCTAGAAAGTATAAAGTCAATGTAACCTTTTTTTTTTTGTTATAATTATCGCATTTGAGTCAATAAAGAACAAGTAAAAAAGAACAGAAAAAATACACGATTATATGAGGATTTCTTTTTGGCATCGGTTCAATTGTATGTCACCCTTATTCAATTTTAATTTTTCGGTCATATCGACCTCGATCAGTTGATTGTTAATACTAATTTTATACATGTTCTGCCTTTCAAGAGTTAAAAGAATGTCTTCGATAATACTAAAAATAAATTAATGTATACAACAAAATTGGACAACTCACCTAACTTTTTTTTTAATATATACGTGACAAATGATGGGAAAGTGTATGTGAAGTTTCTTTCAATTGTTTTTTCATGGGGTCATGTGGGCTATACTATATATTCCTTTTTTTTTTTGCTCAAATAATTTTTTTTGTCAGGCAGATTCAAGAATACTTAAGTGGGCCACATTGATGTAGACGCTCTTATTTATTTCTTTTATTTTATATAATATAATATAATTTAATTTTAATATAAAAATTAAGAAAGATTTTTTACAAAATTATAAATAAATATTTAAAAATTAAATTATTATTAAATATAATATCTTCCAATTCGTTTATGTAAAATAAAAAGTAAGTCACGTAAATTAGAAATTAATACCTCTCGAAAGATACCAAGTATATATCTTTATATATTTACAATACAAAAGATAATTAAGTGTAATAGAATCAAATCAATTGATCCCTTGCTGATTCCTCTTTAATTTACTTATTCATTATTAATCTGACATGTTCGACCAACCATAAATAAAATAATACTCCTTCTGACTTGTCTTATTAGTTATTTTATAGTAGTTCCTATTTACTTGTTTAATGTTTTTTTTACTAGTTAATTTTGACAAATTAATAAAGGACAATTTATTTATTTTGCATTATTTACTCAATTTATTAATATTGAGTTAATATACTTAAAAAATATAATGAGTAAATATATTTGAGATTCTATCAATTAATAGGTATACCAAGTCAAGATTTGACAAGTAAAAAGAAACGGAGCGAATATCTCATTTTTTTCTTTTTTAATCTGTTTTTAAAAACACTATTTTACTATAATTAAAAATAATTTAATTTTAATTTATTTTCTTTAATAAAATGATTCACCATCTCATAAATATCTCAACTAAAATAACAAATTTTTTTAAAAAAAACTACTTTTAAAAATATCGTGCTAAGTCAAAGAATATCATCACAAAATAAGGATATAGATTCCTACGCATCAGGGGATTAACCTTTCCTAATACAGGTAAATTTATGCACACAAAGAAACAGTACACCAAATTGGTTCAATCATAGAGTAGTAGTAGCTACTTTCGTGTTCTCTTCACTCTGTTTTGTAGAAGGCTCTCTCTGTTTCTCTCTACCAGTGTAGAAGTTCCATCTGCAACTCAGCTACCTGTTGCTTCTTCATTTTGCATAAGACAAGTATTTGTTGTCTTCAAACATCATTTTTCTTTCTATTTTTCACTTATTGATTTTGGGTTTTCTTGCTACTCCTTTTGTTACTTACATAATTTAGCAGTTTGACTCTTATTTTTCTTCAAAGAATCCTAATTACAGAATCTTGAATTTAACCTGTAGTTTATAGGTTCTATTTGAATTAAGTGTCTTTTAAGTTGTTACCAAAATACTATTGGTAATTTGTAATTTTCTGAATTTGGGGTTATCTGGATTGTTCAAATCTGAAGGTTTTTCTAAGACCCACCTTGTAAAGATTCAATCTTGATTAGAATTTCAAGTGATTTGGGCGTTTTGATAGAGGTTCTGGAAGCTTCCTGTGTGGTTTCAAGCTAAAAAATGGAACCCCCATCTTCTGAAAGTCAGGCCAATGTGTCTTATAATAGTTATTACCTTGTATATGCTGTTTTGCCATTGTTGAAGCTCTTATGTTTAACTGTTATTGGTCTGATTCTTGCACATCCAAGAACCCAATTAGTTCCTAAAGCTACTTTTAAGCTTCTTAGTAAGCTTGTATTTGCGCTTTTCTTGCCTTGTACTATCTTTATTCACCTTGGTGAGACTATTACTGTCAAGAATTTTATGCGCTGGTGGTTTATACCAGCTAATGTGCTTCTCAGTACTGCAATTGGTTGTCTGTTGGGGTATTTGGTGGCAAAAATTTGTAAGCCACCTCCACAGTATTTTAGGTTCACTATCATTGCGACTGCGTTTGGGAATACGGGCAATTTGCCTCTTGCTATTGTTGGATCAGTGTGTCATAGTAGTGACAATCCTTTTGGTCCAGATTGCTACACGACTGGTGTGTCTTATGTATCGTTTTCTCAATGGGTGGCGGTCCTGCTCGTCTACACTCTTGTTTACCATATGATGGAACCCCCAATTGAGTACTTTGATGTTGTTGATGTGGGTGGTGAGATTCAGGAGCAATTACCTAGTAATGATTTAAGTAGGCCACTTCTAGTGGAAGCTGAGTGGCCTGGTATGGAAGATAGAGAAACTGTGCATTGCAAGACACCCTTTATTGCACGGGTTTTTACAAGTGTCTCAACCCTTTCGTATAGTTCCATTCCAGACCCTGATAGTTTGGAGGAAGCGTCAGCTCCAACAAGTCCAAAATCTATTAGATGTTTAGCGGAGCCTCGGGTGGTTAGAAAATTAAGAATTGTTGCTGAACAAACTCCAGTTCGACATGTTCTCCAGCCTCCAATGTTTGCTATATTGTTGGCATTTATTGTTGGAATGGTTCCACCCATTAAATCTGTTGTTTATGGTAAGGAAGCTCCTCTTGAGTTCCTCACAGACAGTTTAAATATACTAGCTCAAGCTATGGTGCCTTCAGTTATGCTGATTCTAGGAGGAATGCTTGCTGAGGGTCCAAATGAATCTGAACTTGGGGTTCGAACCACTGTTGGCATCAGCGTAGCTAGACTTTTGGTCCTTCCTTTGCTGGGAACAGGGGTGGTCTATTTGGCTGATCAACTGAACTTTTTAATCCATGATGATAGGATGTACCAATTCGTTCTTTTGCTGCAGTACACAACACCAAGTGCCATATTGTTGGGAGCAGTTGCTAGCTTGAGAGGTTATGCAGTCAGAGAAGCTTCAGCATTGCTCTTCTGGCAACATGTGTTTGCTCTCTTCTCTATTTCTATATACATTATTGTCTACTTCAAGCTTCTGCTTTCTTATGTCTGAGGTTTGTTCACAATATTCATGTCAATTTTTGAGTTCCTATGTAATAAGCGACGTGTCATTAGTGGTGATCATTTCAGTGTTTCTACTTGTTTTCAGTGCATTATTTAATCAACTGATGTACTAAACTTGTATGTGAAGGGTCTCTAAGTTCTGTACTTGATTACCTATTCCAACAAACTACTCATATGTAGTGTGTGCCTTAGCTTTTCTATGTTTTGTTTCTATCTCTGTCACACAGATGCAGTGCAACGATTACTTTTATGAAGCATTTATCTCTGTCCCCAGCAAACAATTTTCGATATAGATCTTATATGTTATATAAAAGTTGTGGTTTCAAGGTTTGAGTTTTGGCCAAGTTCCACTATATGCTCTTTCTTGGGTGCTTTGTAGGATGGAACTGAGGCTCATAGTATTTTCTGGATTCAACCTAAGACTCTTGGAATTAACAAGCACAATGAACGAAAAACTGAATATCAGAATTAGGGACATACACTTGCTTTTGTGTCTTCATTTCTCTGAGGCAAATCATGTGAATTGGAACCTTGTAGATCTCCACTCGTACTCAGTGTGTCGTGGCAACAAGGCCATTATGTCACTCAGTCATCTGCAAATGTTCTATTCGTTGCTTGATAGAAATTGTACTTCGAGGCAGTTCCTGCAAGGTCGAGTGCGACTAAATGAGCATAATAAATATCAAAAGGCACACAAAGCATATGACATAATCAACTTTTCCTCGTTTGGACGTGCAAACTTTATATTCTACTATAAGAAATATGTGTTTTGAGTTTTGACAATTATTTAGAAAAAGTTCTGAAAACTTTCGATGGATTAAAGCAGATTTGGCACACTTTTCTGTAGAAGTACTTTTGAGAAGGAAGTAAAACTTTTAAAAGCAACAATTATCAGAACACGTTCGTTGATTCGGTTTCTTTTGACATAATCATTCTTTTCATACTTTTTAAAAGAAATAAACCAAAAACAAATAAATGTGTGCCTCTCAAAATTACTAAAAAAGGAAATATTCGAAAAGTGACCTTTAACATTGGTGACCTCCAACTTGTGTATGTTAAAAGGCTCATGACTAAGAAAAAAAACTGTTGCTTTACCCTTAAACCATAATTCTGGAGAAAACCTATTCTGAAAGATTTGAACTTTGAGAAATTTTGTATGGCAAAATTGTAGAATAGGAAAATTAATCAAAAATGTATAGAGGAAGCAAAGAATGAAGTGATGAAAGAATAGTGTTTAATTTCTTCTCTTGTAAAAATGCTATCCCATTCTTGTAAGTTTTCCTCTTCTTCATAATACATACACTCAAAACTCTTTTCGATTCTTCAACGTATCGTCTGTTTTGCTTCCTCTTGGCCTTTATCGGTATTTTTTTTTTCACAATTTTAATTTCATACTATCTAATATTTCATGTTACATGATTTATAAGTAATAGAACACAATCATGTTTATAACTTATGTCGCTATTGTTATAATTGATCCTGTTTTCTTATTCTCATTTTGAAATATCTAACATAATGCAGCTGAGCTGTTTTGGGACCTGGAAGTTATTTTCGTAAAGTCTTCATCTGAATATGTAAGTTTATACAACTACTATATTACTCTGATAAATGTGAGATCATTTTGCAAAAGGGAAAAAACTAATTGCAAATGTTTACACCAAACGAATGGATATATGATAAGCGTCTTGCATAAAACCATATGCATTCTCTGTATTGCTTGGTTAAGTGTGGAAACCTGGGGTGTTGGAAAGTATATTCCAATCATACGCGTTTGTTGCAGCATGCCTTGCTTGGGGATATTAAAGAATGAGAAGATTTTACTTCGTATAGGATGAACATCCATGTTGAGTCTGCACCAAGGAAGATGGAAGAATGTAGGATTTGCCATGATGGTGATGATGATTCTAACATGGAGGTACCCTGTTCTTGCCGCGGAACCCTCAAGGTTTGTTGTGCTGACTATTTCCTCATTTATATTAGATGTCTGATTTGTTTCATATCTGAAAAAATATATGCTTACTGTTCTCACTTTGAAATTTGTTACCATGAGTTTCCATTTTTAGAAATCTTTTAACTAGTTATTAATGACCAGCTCTTAGTAACTGTGCTCTCTACTAGAGCTTTGTAACAAAGCACATTTTGGATTCATATCAGTCTAATTGCTGTTTTCCTTTTAGACTAGTGCTGTCAAGTAAAAAATTGAAATTTGTGCTGACAGAAGCTGTTTCTTGCATCCTTATATGCATAATCATTTAGTAGTGATTTGTTCTTAATGAAGTTTTTGTAAACGCAGTATGCACATCGCAAATGTGTACAGAGGTGGTGCAATGAGAAGGGGGACATCATCTGTGAAATTTGCCGCCAGGTTCAATTGTGATTGCACAGTTTATGCTGTGTTCATTTTTTAAGACAGGACCTATAAATGTTGCTATTGTGTGTATTCTGTATATGCTGCTGAAAGCCTGAAAGTTGGTTGTTATTAACCATGTTTCTCTTTAATGTGAGATTGCAGAATTTTACGCCAGACTACACAGCACCAGCTCCTCTATTTGGCAGATTCACAATGAACACAGTGTAATTTTACCATCTGAAATTTTGCTGGTTATTTTCTTCACAAAACTGTTCTTTACAATTCCAAATAATAACTATGTCTGCTGTGCTTGGTTTGTCTTTGCTATCACAGAGGAAACTGGGATATTTCCATGGGTGGGGTAGATTATCATCATTTTGCTGCATTGGTTTCTACAGATGACAATTTTGTTGATTATGAGTCAGATGAGTATACAACATTTTATCCAAGAAGTTTGATATGGTGTCGTATTGTTGCCATAACTGTAAGTTCCCTCTGCATGTATCGTGCTTCGTACATAGAACTTTTCAATAGAGCTAGAGGTACAATCTTCACATTCGATTCTTCCCCTGTCCATGCAGTTTGTGCTTCTTCTGATGTTGCGTACAATGCTGCCAATAATCTTTGGTGTTGCTGGAGATAACTCGGTATCATTGGTCATGGTTAGTGGCACAGTTAAATTTCTTTGGAAAGAGAAACCTCTGCACTTTTCCTCGGAGTTGTTTATACATTCATGTTTATAGTTATCAGTGTTGAAAGCTATTGGAATGGTACTGGCAATCTACGTTTTGGTGAAAGCTTTTATTGCTGTGCGACATTGGAGGCATCAGCAGGTGGGTAAAGCATCAAAAACTCCAGTATACCAATGAAATATTGATACGAAATGCAAGTTAAAAAGACCTGAATCAAATATTATTTACGATCTGTTGTTCTCTCTATGTTTTTGTTTAGGATCCTCATCACTCAGAGATAGCCTCATCAGATGAAGAAAATGAACTTCCATTACAACAGCGTCAGCACTTTCAAATTGCTCCATCAAACGATGAGAATGAACTACCACTACAGCCGCCTCAGCCGCACTTTATACATGTCCAATGAACCCCTGGCTTAAAAAAAGACATCTGAACAACCGCGGAAGTTTCACACTGCGACTTTTATGGCTCTATTATGGAGTATTCTCAGACAAATAAAGCAAAGCTGCAACAAAAGATCAAATGACCTCCTTTTGACACATTTCTAGCTTTGCTTTTATGACTTGTACTCCATCCTACAATACAACGGTTTCACTATAACAATACAAAACAAAATTAACATTGTATGAAGAGAAAACCCAAGATATTCTATTGCTAATATCAGGCAGAACTGATCTCATGAATTGAAATCCTTAGGTTTCAAACAGTAAGACACGGAGTGATTTGTGATTATGCTCTGTATATATTACTCATGTATAAAACACCAACGATCTTCATCATCTCCACTTCTCAAGCCACACGCCTATACCCAAAAAGAACAAGTTGAAAAGGATAATGTGGCTTTAAAGGCTTGAACATGACAGAATCGCCATCATACTTTTCTGAAGCCCTCGTTGAAAAAAAAAATATCACCACAACAATAATTTGCTTATTCAAAAAACATCCTATTGACCTGCATACTCAAAATAATTAACGCACAACAATAATATATAGCTTAGATTTTTTATTCCCACAGAATTCTTATTCAACATAAACCATCAAAAAGAAGACGGACACGGATTGCAGGACAAAAGTACCAAGCAATATAGAAGTACAGACCCAAGTAAAACCACAAATAAAGAAGAAAACATGAAATACCGAACTAGTAAATAGACTCTATCGCATAAGGAACATGCCTAAATAATGAAAGAACATAAGCCTGCATAGAAAAGATTAAATAAGGACAGTTGTGATATCAGTCTTCCTCGGACTCGGACTCCGCGCTCTGCAACCAGTCAATGAAAGGTTTAACATTCTTCCAAATTTTAGAGTCCTTTTTAACCCCAGCAACACCCTCTTCATACCACTGCACTATAAATTCCTCCTCCAACACATCAGCATCATACAAAGCTTTCAAAACGAGTGCTACTTCCTTCACAGCTGCCGGGTTAGATGTCCCACAGAATTCTTCCAGTGCTCTGAGCAAAAGTAGCTGTGACCCGTCCTCTTGACCAACAGCAGCAAGAAGATAACCTTTCTTCTTCATAAGCTCCTTGGCAAATGCTTTCTCCACACCATCCAAGAGTGCCTCGTAGACAGCAGTAACTATGTCCTGAGGGGATCCCGAGAGTGAACCCAAGAAAGATAGAAATTGGCTGGCCGTAACTCCCTTCTTTAGATGTACTTTCACCTCCTCAGCAAGAGTGTGAAATGGTTGCGCTCCATTCTCAGCTTTAGGATCATCCTCAGAGGGTGCAGAAACAACCTTGGTACTTTGGAGCGCTTGAGTAGTAGCTGCCTTGGACTTCTTCTCTGTCTCATTTGTGGAGAGCATAACCATTTCAGCTGTCACAGCACTCAACTGTTCCTGTATGCGCTGTTGAGCAGCTTCCATTGATGTATCAGTTTGCCATTGAACATCATCATCTTCTTCTTCCTCCTCTTCCCTGACATTCACATGCCTTTTGGGTGGGGATGCATGATCCTCGTCAGAGCCACTGGCTTTCTTTTTCAAGGTAGGTTTTGCACTGGCCTCCTTGGAAGAAACCTTTTTCTTTGTCTTCAGCTTCTTCAGCTCTTCATCAGCAGCTTCACCTTCCTTTAGACGCTCCTTTTCAGCTCTTCTCATTGCTTTCTTGTCTTTGGCTCCCTTCTTAGACTCAGGTGGGTTTTTAAGAATAAAGGTTGTCAATTTGTCTCTCATGTCTACATCAGAAATAAAACCACATGCAGCACACTTCAGTTGGATCATCTGAGTTTTAGTGATAAGGATTTCAGTTTCAGGGTTTCCACACCCATAGCACTGAACATATTTCTTGATGAAAATCTCAAGAAGACCAGCAAGCTTGGCAGTATCATGAGAACCATTGACAAGGGAAGTCCCAGTTTTTTCATCAAACTTCGACTGAGCTCCAAGCTCACACCCAAAATGTTTTGTGGTATAAGATGCTGGCCTTGCTAGAGCTTTGGCAATGTCAACCATGTTGACCACGTTTGTCTTGATGCCATTCCCACGCCCCTCTATCTTGGTAATCATCCTGGGCATCTTATACCTGTAGAAGGCATCATCACTGTTGCCGGCTCCAATATTCTGCAAAGCCATTTTTGATTCAGTGAAAATTCCTAAATAAAGTGTTAGGGGTTTCCAGGTGATCCTTTGGCCCAAAATTTGTTGAGAGAAAGTTGTGTCTGGGTGCAACCACTAAGCTCTAAGTGTCCTTCCTGAAATAAGTCAAGATGCATACAGTCAACCCTATCAGAAATATGATGACACCTTTTTCTTGACGTTGGACAATATTCTCCAAGCAATCCAACGGATCCCAAATAGAGTGTGGCTTGTTTGGACATAAAAGAAGTTTCAACTTGAGAAACTACAACTTGAAACCCACGTAGATAAAATGCCCACAACCTTCAGAAAGAAAAACCACATCAAAAGATACAAAGTAAGCTCATGTTACCTTCTCAATAAAAAATGAGTAAGTTGTAAATGAATTTCTTTTTTAAACATGTTACCAAATATAAGCAATGTAAAAATAGAAAAAAGGGAAAATTGTTTCAGTTGTATAGCTGAAGCAAGTAGTTGTAAATTTAATCAAAAAGATATGTCTCCTGGAAAAATTATGTATATAAATAAATAGAATGCTATAGGTACTGTTGTCATTACTTGGGCATATTTATGCGCTAAAGCATAACATTACTTCGGCAATGAGTTTCTGAATTGTAAACTACAGGAACACTCGTTTTAAAAGACATATAGTTGTAAAATTATAGAACTCAAGCAACAGACCCCTCATAAATCGCATATCTGTATTTCTGAATTGCAAGGTAAAGTAACACTTGCTAGCAAAAAAAAAAACCATTAGAGATATCCTACTCACTAATGGCCTACTCTTAAACGAAACAGCCATTGTTAATATAACCTACTAATCGCATTAGCTTAGCTTAGTAAATTAGGGTAAACATCATTCAACCATCTAAAATTTCACAAATTAATATTAAAACACCTACCAATTTCTATTTCTAGATACTCATAACCAGCTCATATAAATCAGAGAAACACAGAACAGAACCATCGATTATGGTTATACATATAAATTTGGTTCTAATTAGTCAGCCATTGACATTATACACGGAGAAAAGAAAACAAGACAAGTATAAACACATTGATAAATCATAAATTAAAAACACGAAAGCGGCATTGAATCAACAGTTGAGAATGATCAAAAGTAGAGAACAAATAGTAGTAAATAGAAATCTTACCGATTGATTGAAGAAAATGGAGGAACTGGTAAAGGAAGATTTAGGGTTAATATATAAAATATATAAAGGTGAATAGATGAGGCGGCGTATAGATTTCTTAATATATAGGGTTTGAAGGAATTGAAGAGAAGAGTAAAACCAATCCAGATACTTCTCCGACCCTCTTAAGAAATTTCAAATTCTATTTCCTGATTTTTGTTTCTAATTTTCATCTAAACCTCTGAAATAAATCCACGTGTTTTCATCTTGGCCGTTTTGATGTCTGTGTGATGACATATGATTCGGCCACGTGTCATATGAAAATCTGCTTGACAGTTTCACGTTTTTTCCGTCAAAAAATTTACAAATAGTTTTGTTTAATGGAATAAAATAGGTCGGACTTGAGCAAGCATAAGGGTTCGGTATTGGTACGAAAATATCTGAGACCGATATTAGGGTGTGGAGTCTATCTAGCTCAATCGAGTATAAGAAATTGTTTTAAACAAGTCTGTCTTATGTGAGATCTCAAAATTTTCACTGACCATTATAAGATGGAGACAAATGCACGATCGAGGGATCATACTGGTGAGATTTACGGAAATAAAATTCTAGGGTTTAGATATTAAAAAATCCTATTATTATTTTCTGAACTCATTGCATAGTCACTGTTTTATAATTTATAACAACAAAAGGCTTTTGTTTTATATTGTTTTATGGTTCTTTCGTCAAGTCTGATATCGGTACGAAAATATCTGAGATCGATATTAGAGTGTTAAGCTCGTCTAATTCTGGAGACCCGATTCCAAGTACGAAGAAGTTGTCGCATCACATGAATCCTTAAACAAGCTCGTCGTCATGTGAGATTTTCATCGACATTATAAGATGAAGATAAATGCACCATCGAGAGATCATATGGGGTGAGATTTATGAAAATAGAACTCTAAGGGTTTAGATATAAATAATCTTATTATTATTCTTTGGATTCATCGTAATACTCACTATTGTACCATTACAATAACAAAAATTCTTTGTATTCAAAACTTTTGATTTATATTGCTCTAGGGTTCTGAGTTCTCTTTTAAGACGACACAAAATTCATACTCAAAATTACCTTGTTATATTTATTATTGATCTAATAATTGTTTGTCATCAGTTATTGCAATTTTATTTTTATTTTTTAGTATATATAGATTGTTAGGTTTAATTTACTTGAGTTTAGATCACACTAACAAATTCAACTATACTTTTTAAGGGTAAATAAATTTAAACTTCAGAGTAAATTTAGATATTGATATTTCAAACTTTTTACGGTAAAAGTACATAAAGTTATTAATTTATTTCCTCCTTTAAAGGAAAATGGTGAATTTCAAAAATATAATGATTAATATCTAATTAGGTAACTCAGCCGAGCTACGCGCGATTATCAAATATATTTATTTATGATGTACACTATATTTATCATCAAAAATTAAAGATCTACAAATACTAATGACCTATCGAGCTTGGAGGCCATAACACCGTCTCCATTCTTAATCCATGAGCCTTGTCCATCATGTAGAGATAATAAATCAATATAAGAGTGTTAAGTTTGTCTTATTAGCACATATAAGGTAATTTTTTATTTTTAACTATTTGAAAATAAAGTAAAAATTAAAATTTTAAATATAATACCTCTAATTTCATCGGGATGTTTCACAAATAATCAATCAAATTTATTATTTATTTTTTCTAATTATATATATAAAGCATACACAATTATATACATATTGTACATATACATACCGTTTTAAGTTTAAGCGGTTAATTGACCAATTATCTACATTATTTCGATTTATTGAGATATTTGCTCTATTAAAACAAAACATTGTTTTTAGTAAGTTGTACCCTGTTCGTACTTAGATATTTTGGGTTTTATCTCATTGTCTTGTGAAAGAAAGTTCAACTACACCTTATTATATGATTTTAACTTACTAACAAAACATTATTAGAAGGAAAATATGTACTAACCTTTTTGCATTATTTTGGACTAAATTTATTGGCGAACTCGTACGAAATAAATACAAGACAAACTTCCACTTAAATATATATAATAGCCGGAGGAAATAAAACATATTGATTAAGTAAAATATTGAATTCATCTAAGACTGTTTGTTAAAAATAAAATTCGAGAATTTCAGTATAGTAAATTATCCTATTATAATAGTAATAAAATAAGTTTATCCTTGCTTAAATTATTTTCATTCAGTTCATACTCTTTTATTGAGGAATAAATCTTGACCCAAACATAAAACACGGGAGTTTGAATTTAACCAAACAACTTTTAAACACTAAAACCAATCATTCATATGCA